TCCAAAGTTAGTGGGGGTCGGTCATACATTTGGACTCGATTGGAGCACTCTAAATGGGTCAAAGTGGGATTTTTCAAAATTTGCCCCTACCCAAAAGTTCGACCCAAATTGGGGGACATCAGAATTCGTTTTAGAGGTATGGTTCCTTCGGCAAAGTTTCTTATTTTGATCCCTAGAATACGATTTTCACAGAGCAATGAGCGATTTTTAAATCGACCCGCCCTAATATGTATGTATGTACATAAGTATACAATTTTGAAAGTGTCCGGCGTTATAGCCCTTTAGAAAAAAAAAATAATAAAATGACACTAGTTAACTGCTGAAACCGCTTTTTAATGTGCAAGAAATCAGATATTTTTTATATATGAGAGTATCGGGTAATTATGTGAAGAAGCAATAAAATCAGTTCTTTAGTTATAAATATTTTTTCTTATAGATTTGTTTTTCATCTTTGGTATATGGGTAAATTAATTTTAATTTTAATACTGTCATTTTACTTTTTATTAAAACCTGGATTATTTTGATAACAAATTTGACGTGTTGTTATACCTCAATTAACTTTTTTTTAATAATGCTATTTTAATTTGTTTCTTCGTTGTAAATATTGTTTTATTATTTCTAAACAGAAATTTCTAAAAGCCCAATAAAACCATGATGGCTTTATTTCCATCTTCAGTTGGATTTGAGGCCATTTCGAAATTATTGTTTCATTGCCAATCGCAAAGGGAAATATGGTCATTATGATTTTATGGAGTATGCTGTTATTGCAATCCACCTGTTGTACCGAATGTACATTCAAATTTAGAAGTCTGAAAAGTAGGTACAATTTTACATACTTTAACATACTTGCTTCCGTCGGTAAAATAGTATAAATAAGCATTGCGAATTAAGGCAAAATTTGTTTTATTTCCAACCTTTGTAGGAAATAAAGCAAAACTCAGATTTGGTATTATTTCCTATTTAAAAATGAAATAAAGCAAATTTTGCCTTATTGCACCCTCCCAATGCATCACCAGAAAGTTTCTTTTCTCAAATATTTCTTTAAGATCATGGTAACTGAATTGATTTTTTATATGTAGTAGAAATTGAGTTAAATTGGTTTCAATGATCGGAGGAGTAAATTTAAGTAAATAAGGTATTAAAGAGGTGAATAGTACCTTTTCACTTTGATACTATTTCTCTAGGTTGATATTCTTAACAACTTAATTTATATATCGTCGCACAGTGGTCCAATGTGCAAAGCTGGGGTATTTTAATTGAATTTTTTGTGTGTAATTTTTCAATAAAATTTTTATCAAATATGCAAGAATATTGTCTACTTAAGAGTAAATACAACTTTGTTTGAAAAAATTTGGCTACATACAAACATAACGGTATCCAAAACTCATAGTAAGCCATAAGTGAACAATGAAATTGTGCGTGCAACGAAAACTGAGTATTTTTAAGGCTCAATAACTTGTTTAAAGAATCTTTGTTTTAACTTCATTTCTTTCTCCGTCATTGTTTTAAGTAAGAAAATTCAGGAAATGTAAAAATTATTACCGAAGTGGACGCACATATTTTTTTGGAGCTGATAAAATTTTCATCTTTTTGGTGAGTACCAAATTATTATTTTTTTTTGTTTTTGTAGAAGAAATCTTTCTTATATGGCGGAATATAGATCACTTACTATACTTATTCTCTCAATTGATGTATATACTAATAGAATCCACAACAAAATTCTGCGGCTAGCTGCGGCACCCATACATTTATTTTCAATTTTCGAAATGACTCCTAAAATTTCAAGACAGGAAATTTTTGATTTTTGGCTGTCGACCCCTAAAAATGAAAGACTTGATGGAATAATGGATTTTGTACCAGGGAATATCAGTTTAGGATCTAGTGATAGAATCAAATTTGTTAAATTGAAATCATACGTGCGAAGTTAATTCAGAATTTGGACCTAAAGTGGACAAAAGTTTTCCAAAAAAAGAGAGCGGTTTGTTACTGCAAATAAAGATTGGCTCGAATTTGAAATAGACTTGTCACAATTTGTGTGTTCTAAGTTTGGTAAGCCGACATTTTCTGCTGGTAGGCCAGCTAAAAGTTTTGAAGATTGTTGCCAAAAAGTTAAAATGAAGAAATCTAATGAGCTTTCGAAAGTTATCGAACCAGATGTATTTCTTTTTGGCCACTGAACTAAAAATGAGATCTTCAGCTACGCTACTTAATGAGCTTTTAAGTGCTTCTCCAGAAAGAGGTACTGCTATTAAGAAGGTCATATTGGCAAAGAAAAGTCCCAAAGGTATTTCGCCTAAAGAAGCTCTCGCACTAATAACACCGGCACACAAAAAAAAATTAGTGTGGTGTGCATTTGACCGGACCTACCTATGGTTATGTATTTCGACCCGCAGAATCCGAATTTGAATTCAGTTTGGCCAATATACTTCTTAAATTGCGAGAAAACTTCAAAACTCCGTTTTTTATTGCCGATTTTCACTATTTTTGCGGTTGTTTTTTGAAGTTTTATCGAAACCCAAAGCCTTGGTTGAAATATCTAATATATCTGACTCATGAACCGAAACCGAACCAAAATTTAAAGTTGGGTACACATTTTTAGAGGCTACATCTGGTGAGCAACAATTTATCAATTCGAGAAATTAATGCGCTGATGAGAAAACGACAACTCGTATATCGAGACGATAAAGTGGCCGGTAATCTAAAGGTTAGATGAGGAAACGGCCCTAAAAGTTGTTAAGCTTGATCTGACTTTTTAGCAGTTTTTTTATTATATACATATATTAGGTGGCAGATTCCGATCCGGCGTCAATACAGTATATACATAAAGGACTTTCTATTTTTAATTCATCCCAAATAGTTAAAAAAGTTTTAGATATGCAGGTATCTATAACCGTGCGCAAGTGCTTAAAAAATTTACCAGAAATTTACGAAAAATTTAACGATTTTTTAATTATATTGTTCGTAGGCGTGGTCGCCAGCCGATCTTGCACATTTTATGAGCAGAAGTTGTTAGTCATTCAGACATAATTTGTGCAAAATTTCATCCCGATACCTACCTTAGTTCTTAGTATAATAATTAAATTACCCTAATAGAGCAGATTGGACCACTGTGCGTCGCCTGGATAAAAGATTGTCGTAAACGCCATTTTGACGACTTTCAGTTATAGATGCAGTTTCAGATTTTAAAATAAGATCTTACGATTGGTGTTATTAGTTTTTGGATATTTCCTTTATTTTAAACTAATCAAAATCTTTTAAATGGCGTTGACCATGTTTGGCTATCTCATTTAGTTTTCGAGGTTTTAAGTAAAAAGTATCGTTAATTTAGTACAAACTAGTGTTACATTTTGCCGCATGTAAAGTGGCTGCAAAATAGTTGACAAATATCGCATACGACAAAATTTGACTAAAGAAAATACTTCATAAATTCAAATATAATTTATAATAAACGATAAAAATAAAATAATTTAACAATTTCGTGAACTAGTAAAATTCTCCGAGACTTTGGAGACCATCTATCGTCGCGGTTTTGAGAAATTGCATTCCAAACTTCAATCGCGATTTCCCAAAACCCGCCGAAAGTAACATACGACAATCTTTTATCCAAGCGATGATGTGTGTAATTATAGTTTCATTGGATGCACTCCTTTCATAACTGAGTTATGTTTCTTTTTCAATTTACAGAACCGACGATTATGGGTCTAAGAATCAAATTATAACGTCCATTGCATAATAATAGTTTCCAACTGCGAAATTTTGTACGGTTATCATTATTAGAGGGCTGCTATACCTGAATTCTTGGACAACAATCATCTGATGAAAATATATTTTAGAAACATCTAAAATAGTATGCGCGGGAGGATTAGATCCAAAAGGATGGTGTGCATATATTTGCGTGTATGACTGAATGAGTTAAGGAGTACAGTATTCCCCACTTAATTGCACTTCAAAAATTGCACAATTTGGTCCAATTAACCGGGGAATCAATTAACCGATACATGTTTAGTTGAACAGTTTGTCTATTACAGAAGTTCCGCTAAATAAGACAATCTAATTAATTAAAAGAAAATGCATGTGTACATTTTAAATCATGATCAAATTTAATAATATAGTTTAAACTTTAAACAAAAAAGGATAAGGAATAAAAACAATTTATATTTATTATTTTTCATACGTAAGTATTTAGACTTGTCCTCACATTTTGGGAGATAATTGTTATAAAAAAAAATAAAATAAACATAAGGAACACTTAACCGGGGGAAATTGAGGGTATATCTCTTTTCAATGCCACATGTTTTTAACCAATTATACGGGGAAACCAATTATCCGGCTTCAATTATGGGGGAAAATTAACATGGCTTTTTAGGCAACATTTTTTTTACCGATAAGGTAATTGAAATAAGCGGGAAATCAATTAACCGGGGGACAATTAAGCGGAGAATACTGTATGTTAATTGATAGGTTTCAAGTTCATATCTGTCAAAGTCATGTTATTGTTTGTACGTTATGTACTTAGCACACTTATTTATATGCTTATAGCTACTTTGTATTATCTTTTTTTCTGAAATGTTTGTATTGTATAATATGTATATATCTCTGTATTTAATATTAAATAAATTTCTCACTGCGTTAAACTTTATGAGTCGATTACGGATAGCAACGCGACCACAGTTTGGTTGCCAGATGGCAACGCAACTGAAAAGAAAATTTGTGTTACAAATAGCAACTAATACCATGTCCCCACCAAAAAGTTAACCATCTCAAATCGAACTTAACCACATCACTAACTATTGCTGTCCACACCAGTGATCGGACTTCTACCACATTGTGGTAGATCTGCCACTTTTTTGAGCATCTACCACATCTACCACACAAGGTCTGAAATCTACCTCATATTCGAGTTTTTGAGTAGTTTTAGTTAATTTTAAGAGCAAAAATTGTCTAACACTAATCACTAACAACAGGCAAAATGTGAGGATAAAATAAAGTGTAAAATAGTATATTTTTTCAATATTCAATTTTTCGACAGGAAACGTGGTTTTTTGTGTTAAATTGCAAAATATATGATTTATAAAAAGAATTAATAGCGAAAATGGTTTAAAACGGCTATTTTTGTGAAAGTGTTAGCCAATTTCAGTGCATCTAAAGTTTCTGAAGCGTTCTTTACTTTTACTTGAGAATTTTCAAAATCGGCAAATCCCAAGTAGCGGTTTCTGGAACGTGCCACATTTGTTCGCTGCATCGTGATGTGATAAAAAGGAAAGCTGGCAGCACTCCGCAAGGTTGCAGAAATCTTTCCAAATATGCTCGAAAACTATCTTGATATGGAAGGAACTGCTTTACACTTTCAAGGAAAAAAATTGCTAAAACTCGACGCAATTTTTAGCAACTTCAATCTTGCACTTTATTATACTATAATTAATCTTTTTTAGATTCTAATTAAAATGTTTGCAATTTAGGTGAAACCTTGCAGAATATTTTTAATTTTTGTACAAAGTTTGATCCAAAACCTGAGATCTACCACATTTTTTTCCAGATTCTACCACACAAATTTATTTTTAAGTACGATCACTGGTTCACACTGCGGTTTGAGGTTTATAAAACAGTACAAACGCCGACAGTGGCCATTGCGCGACCAAATGTATTTTCCCTCATTTTCGGCACTTTTCCAGCAAAATTTCGGTTATTTTACTGCCGTTTTTTTACATTGTGTATTTTGTTTTTCTTTTGTTTATTTGTTATCCTCGCACAGCTGTAATTAGGTGTCGGGGTTGCTGACCAAAAAGTGTTGATTCGAACCGCATTAGATTTCGGGTTGCCATTGAGGTATTACTCCTATTAATATTATTTAGTAGTATTAGTATTATTTTGTTATTATAAGTATTAATATTTTCTAGTTATTACTATTAGTATCTATAAGGATTATTATTATTATTGCTGTTGTTGTTATCATCAATTTTAATATTACAATGATAATTATATATATATTTTTTTGCTTTTATAATTTTCTTTTGCGCTTCATGCCATCGGCATCTTTCATTGTTTTTGTTCCTTATTTTTTCTTCATATTCTTCATCCTCTTCATCATCTTCTTCTTCTTCCTCTTCTTCTTCTTCTTCTTCGTCTTCTTCTTCTTCTTCTTCATCTTATTTAGGTTTCTTCAGCTAGTTTCTCCTCATTCAGGGTCTCCACTGCCATGGCAATCGCTCCCCTGCTGGCAATTGCCGAGTACACACACTTCAGTCACTGCTGAAAGTTACCTATTCGCCTCTATGCGCCGAATTAGGCTCAGACGATGCCTCGGGAGAATTTCCTCCGTCGCGTTGTTCTCATAAAGTGGTTTGAGATCACTCACGTGCGCTGCTTTCCTTTTCCCTTTGTGCACCTTGTCGAGTTCCACGATCACAGGCGAAATAAAATTTAGAACGCGATGTGGTCCGCCGTATTTCAGTGCGAGTTTTGCCGCGAAGTTGTCCACAGCTTTAGAGAGGTAGTGAACTCGCCCCAGCACCTTGTCTCCCACGGCTGGTTGCCATGACCTTCTCCGCAGGTTATAGTGCCTCGCTTGTTCTGTGGTAGCCTGCTGGTTGCGTCGTACTAGCTGGCATACCTGGGCTTGTTCGCGCTATCGTTTTTCGGATCCCCATATGGCCTGCACTGGGAACAACGTGAATTTCCCTTAACACCCTCTGCATCTGCCCTGTCGGTACGCATAATTTCCATGGCAACACGTCTTCACCGTCGATTTGGCCTGATATTCGCCTATACAGCCCACCATTTTCGATGACAAAGTCAGGAAACTTCTGTGGAGACCTCTCCACCTCCGCCATCTTGTCTTTCAGCCACTTGCACTCTACCGCTACTCCTCCCGCCGTCATCGAACCAAGCACTGTTTCCTGGGGCTGTCTTGTCAGCGCGTCTGCTACCGCATTCAGCTTACTCTTGCCCTTCCCTTCCAGCGCCCACCTTGCAATCCGACCGGATGGACTCTCTATCTTACTCAGCCATTTGAGCGCTAAGTGGTCGGTGATGACGGCAAACGTGTATCCTTCTAGTTAGGTTCTGATTTTTCTGATCGCCCACACTATGGCCCGGCACTATTTCTCCGTTGGTGAATAATTGAGTTCGTCTTTGTTGAGCCGGCAACTCGCATATGCGATCAAGCGTTCTTCTCCTTCAATCTCCTGGGTGAAAATAGCTCCCAGCCTGTAGTCGCTCGCGTCTGTTTGCAGAGTGAACTTCTGCGTAAAGTCGGGCAAGCCAACACTAGTGCCTCTATTAACGCGTTCTTCAGCGCCTCGAATGCTGTCTGTTCCTCGTCGTTCCATTTGCACTTGTGGCCCTTCTTTAGCTTTTTGATAGCCGCGATAGCAGATACTTCAACTGCTTCTTGAAAAACTCGTATTTTTCTGGGTTGATCCTCAGATTCGCCTGCCCAAGCCATCGGAAGACCTCCGAAAGATGTTGGACGTGCTCTTGCAGGGTTGCGCTGATGACAGTAATGTCTAGCTCTGGACCGATAACTTGGTCTAACGCACGCTGGAACGTCGCGGGGGCGGAGTGGAGCCCAAAAGGCATTACTCGCCATTGGAAAAGGCCACGCCCTGGCACTGTAAAAGCAGTGTACTCCTTGCTCTGCTCTTTCATTGGGGTTTGCCAGTAACCGTTTTTCAGGTCAAGGCTGCTAATGTAACGCGCACTTCCTAGTCGGTCAAGCATATGTTGGATCTTCGGTAGGGGGTACGCGTCGGGCACTGAATGCTCGTTCAGCTGTCGGTAGTCGGCGCAGAGTCTCCACTGGCCGGCCTTCTTCTTCGCCAACACTATTGGGGCGCTGTGCGGGCTGTGTGAGGGTTCAATACTCCCTTTCTCGATAAGGTCGTCAATCTCCGTGTTGATGATTTCCGGCATCTAAGGGTTCTTCTGGCAATACGGACCCTCGCTTTTGCAGGTAATCGGTTCCAAGCACCACGTCATCCATTAAACCAGGCAATATCAAAAGATCGCTTTCATGCGCCTGATTCGCTAGCTCTACTCGTGCCGTTATAGCCTTCAGCGTGATCTCCCATCACCCATTACCACACGCGTGTTCACCTACCTACTTCTCCCACATCCAGTCTCTTAAACATGGCTTTGCTCAAGAAACTTCTTGTTACGTCTGTATCAAATGCAGCTACTATGTCGACCTCATTTACTCTGAACGCCGCCATAATTCGGCCATCCGACGGCCTAAAACACTCTTTAGTTTGGGCGAGGCTGTTTACCTGAGACCCCACTCCTCGCCGCAAATGGGACTTCGACCCATTTCCCGATGCAGTATGGCAGCACTCTCGCGTCGGGACATTGCATTTACCACAGGTCCAACAAAACTCTCTCCGTGCAGCTCTATACTCCCTTCTCCTCCGCAATGTCCACACGCAGTCCACGGATTAACGTACTCCGACTGTAGTGTTGCTACACCACTGTGTGGTTCAGGTCGGGGCTGTGTTCTCTCTGCCCTAGCCGTCTCGTCACTCCTAGGCAGCTCGCGAATGTGCTGATATCTCTCCGTAACCCGCGGAGATGTTCGTGCTGCGGCTCTCTGTGGCTCTCTCACCGGGGGGATGTTTTCCATGTCTTCCTCCAAACTCACTAGCTCTTCTAGGGTGATGAACTTGGAACTTGCTTCTAGAGTTTCTGTAGATACGAGTCAGCTTCTGCTCCGAGGTGTAGTTCGCGTGTCGCATCAGACTCTGAAGGGCCAACACATAGTCTTTAAATTTCTCGTTCTGTTGTTGGACGCAACGACGGCTCTCATCGTCTAAGCTTTCGTGGTAGCGAGAGTTTAAGACTAGCCTTAGAAAGTCTCCTTTTAAGTCCTCCCATTGTCGCCAATTCCGGTTATTACTGCGGAACCATGTCAGCGCGTTCTTAAGTAGTTCTGGCATTGCTCGCGGTAACAACTCGCGATTCACCTCGTATACTTCCGCCAATTCTTCTACACGCTCGATGAAGCTGAGTGGGTCTCGGCCGCCGTCATATTTGAAATACCACTTACAGACTTGGTCCATGATGGTTCCCAGCGATGTCATAGGATACGCTGCGTTTGACTGTGGTGTGTCAAAAGCGTCAACGGGCATTGGTGACTGCATGACACTGGCTCCCTGGCTTCCACTTTGTGTTGCTGCGGTAACACTCAGCGCAGGCTTCGAGTGCTTCGCTTCTAGCTCTTCGAACCGCGTTTGGTAA